GTAGGCGAAAGTGTCAGGTAGCCCGTGCGGTTGTTCGAGGGCGTTAGCAGCACGGCCGATCGGATCGCCAGTAGAGCGACGCGGGGCGGCTGCGAGGCGATCGTGGCGCTCCCGGTCGCCGGGCTCCAAATTACACGCCGCGCTCCGCCGGAATGCGCCTGCGCAGGCGGCGGTGAGCAGAGGAAGCGCCCCGCGCCGCCCGCGGGCCCTAATGAGCACACGGGACGAGTAATTGCCGCACAAAAACACCGCCCGCCCAGCTGGGAGGAGGGTGCTTTAAAATTGAAAGCTTCGGGGCCGGGTCGGGGCAAAAAAACGAAAGACACACGTCTCCAATAACATCAAACATTCTTTAATTATATGCAGAGTAGTACGCGCGGGCGCCCCCTCCAGCGCCAGACGGCCGCCTGCTTAAGTCCGGGGTTGTTGATAAGGTAATTCTAGACGGGCTTCCGCGGCCCCTCGGCCCTGCCACGCCTCCGCCGACGCTCCGTGCGTTAGAGACGCGAGCAGCGCTGCTGACTAAAACATCACGGCGGGCGGCGCCCGCTCGTCAGAGCACCACTGAGCCCCCCCCCCCATCCGCTGGAGTGAAGGTTTCTTCCGCTGTAGACGAAGAGGGAGGATGCGTTGAGATTCTCACGGCGGCGCTCCGCACGATGAGGCCCAATTCGTTTGGGTAATCTTCGTTGCGCTGGTTCGCCACTTTCTCTTCCCGTTGGGGTGATGTCGATGCGCCGTATACTCGAAACACGCTGTTCTAAAAACATTTCGTATTCCCAAGATCTGCGTTGTGTCCTGTTGATTTGCTCTGTTTTTCTACGTATCTCCTTCCCCAAAATTCATAGATGTCACTAATTCATTCGGGGCAGTTAATGAAATAGTCTTGAACGCAGATGTGTGTGTGTGTGTATATATGTCAGAGGTTCTCACATGCGAAGTGATTCGAACTTTTGCTGGAAAATCTAATGAGATTTCAGGATGCCACAATTACGTGTACTCTGTCAGTAGATATATTGTACAAAAATTAAACAAAAACAAATAAATAAATTTAAAAGTCATAAATGATAATTGAATAAACGCTCAAACGTAGAAACTTCATATAAATATTTATGCAAATCTTTCAAGATTTGAATTAAGAAAAAAAGAGGCACCTGGGTACTATTTACCTAACGTTCTGAGGACAGCGATGTGACGCTTGTTCGAGCTTGCTGAAACGACTAGGAGCATGTCACATCCTGTTTCAACGTCCACGTCTATAATCCAAGTCCATTTACACGGTTCATAATTCCTGTGATGATGCCCGTATCTTGGAGAGACCAGTTACTCCGCGTTGTGCCCCATCTACAAGAGCGTGCAGTGCGGCCGCCCCCTTGGAAATGCGTCCACGACACGCGAGGCAGACCACGCCCGCACTCGCTCGCTCGCTCGCATTCCGTGTGCTAGGGATCTCAACCACCATCACTATCCACCTCCACCCCACCGCAGAATTCACCGACGCCACTATCCGCCGTCACGAACTCACAACACCGTCTCCATCGCAAACAACTACGACTGCACAACCAGTGCCCCGAAGCTACCTTCCTTGAATTTCCACATAGTGCCCATCGAGGGACTTAAACTGGTGGACGTCACGCTACACAAGACAAAGGGCTGGATGACTGTGATTTTTTATAATTGATTTTGATGTAGAGAGTGAAAATTGCCGTGTATATTCGTTGGCATTCATGGGTATTTATCCCAAGGTCTGCTTCAAAGAAGAGATTTAAACGGCGATGAATGTATCTGCTCACTTTGTATGCAGACTCAGTTTTCGTTGAAGGTAGCCAACTCCGAACAAACTACCTTGCGTACTCACTTCCGTCCAAACGCAACCGCTGCACCACCCTCTTGCTGGCCCCCTCGTCGCGGCCGCCTTCCCAGTTCCCCCGTCTGCGCGCGCGGGTCCCCCGGCAGCCTTCCGACACGTCGCTCCGCTCCGCCCAGTCCCGCGTCGCGTCTCGTGGCGTCTCGTCGCACTGATTGCCCTTGACATTGACCGCCGCACCCGGACGGGGGCCGTGCCGTGCGGCGCGGCGACGCAACCAGACCGGGCCACACTCTGGCCTACAAATTTGCGCGACCATTTGAACGTGTTAGTGCGCACGTGTGCGCGGCGCCCTCTGAAGGTCGGCGCGGCGGGCGGGCGTGGATTGTGTGACGCAACGCGGCCGGCGGCGCGGGCGCGGCCGGAGCGGACGCGGGACGCGGGCACGGGCGAGGCAGGACGCCTGGAAATTTCCTATTCCGCTGCACCCCCGTCCCCGCTCCCACTGCGGCCCACGCTTCAGCCCCTCGCCTACTCCCTCGTCCTCGCCCCCGCTTTCTCCCTCGCCCACGCCCTCGCTTCCGCCCTCACTCTCGCCTCCGCTCTCGCCTACGCGCCCCACCTCCGCCCCAACTGCCCGCCCCACCTCGCCCTCGCCCTCAGCCTTGTCTTCGCTTGCCCCGTTCCCTCCCATCCTCACCCTCACCTCGGCACTCCCGCCTCGTTCTCCTCCCTCGCCACACGCTCTCGCTTTCGCCTGGCCTCGCCTTCGCCCTCGCCCTCCGCCCTCGCCTCGCCTTGCCGCTAAGCCCTCGCCCTCGGCTCGCCCTCGCCCTCCGCCCCTCTGCCGCTCGCCCTCGGCCCTCGCCATCTCCCTCGTCCTCGCCCGCTTTCTCCTCGCCCTCGCCCTCGCTCCGCTCTGCTTCGCCTCCGCTCCTCGCCTCCGCCCCCCTCCGCCCTCGCCTTCTTTCGTCTTCGCCCCCGTGCCCTCGCCCTCACCTCGCAATCCGCCTGTCTCCTCCTCGCCCACCCGCTCTCGGCCCTCGCCGTCGCCCCTTTCGCGCTCGCCTCTCACCCTCACCCCCATCCTCGCCTCCGCCTTCACGCATTGCCTCGCCTCGCCCCGCCGCCGCCCCCGCCCCTTCTCCCGCCTCACGCCGCACTGCGTTCCGCCTTTGCAATGCAACGGCTGAGCGTTGTCGCGTGATTTCGACCGCTTTGACCCTCCTTGACTTCAGGCGGGCTGAATTGCGAGCTGGATTTCCAGGGCGACTTTCGATATAAACAGAGCTATCGAATAATTGAAATAATTTCGCCTCTACAGAATGGTCGAGCTTGAATCGCTCCTCCCGATCTAACCGATACTAAGGCAGAAATTCATGGCTCAATTTACTTAAAAAATACCCAGAAAATAAATTATTCAGCACTTACACTCTTTAGTTTATACTGCTTTTTGCCAGTATGCTGTTCAACTACAAAAAGTTCCTATAATTTGTGCTTTCCGTAATTCGTCAAGACGCCCCCCTGAAGAACTTTATAATTAATGCTATGTATGATATAGAAGATGTGGTAATTTCAGAGTTATGTGAATAGTTCCTTTGCCACTCCTTGTACGTAGATAGCGAGCACACATCCAGAATCTTCACCCTAGACGAATGAGTCGGACAACCCGCTTCGTTCTTAAATTCTTAAAGTCGCACTTCCAGAACATCGTCCACAGATTTCTCGAAGATTCTCTGGCACTGATTCTTACCCACTGTCCAATTTTATGTCGGCAAAGGAAACTGCGAAATCTCTTCCAACACGCTCTAAAAATAACTAAATCTAACTTTATAAGCTATTTGGAATACCTGTGTATATAATGGATTTCCATTCGGGTGGAAAAGTCGTGATTTTTTAAAATAAAAATCAGATTTTTTTATGTAAATTAGTATTGTGTAAATGTGTTTAATGAATTGTCGCCGGACTTGGAATCGAACCCTGATCTCCCGGGTTACGTCCAATAGCTCTTAAAAATGTGACGCGGGTTCGATTCCCGGTCGCAGTGACAAATCTTTGAATAAATTTAATAATTAAAATACACTTGTTACAAGGTCACACCATGGAAAACGTATTGACAAGAACACATTTCTAATGTATCTCTGTCTAGAAAGATGTCAGGTATGTGACAATTATTTTTTTTTAAAATACGATTGTTTTATTTAAATATGCGTTTTACTCAACCAATTTTATATTAATAAAATACCTTTTGTGTATATAATTTATTAAACTGATAAAATATAGGCATGATTTACAATTTTAATATTTTTAACTTTAATTCGTGGCCATTGCACTTACGTTAAATGGTCACCAGATTACATGGATGTTAAGACTCTCTCCTACTGTGAAAAAATATTTGTATTAAGGATAAACGTTTAGATAGTATGTAAGTAAAAACATAACCGAATGATAATGAATAATGATGTAAATTAATTGATTTAAATTTTAAATTATCGTCACCCTAGTCAATATAGATATTGAAATGTTGCACAGTGCGATATTGACAGTTAAATGTAACTCGCTTGACCAATTTATATATTGGATTATTTAAATCTCATTTTCATCCTGCGGGGAAGGGTTATGAATTATTTCAGGCTTTGTATGTTTTTAACTTCTCACATTTACGAAAACTCGCAATTTTTCCCAGATCGCCTTATTATTAGTAGTGAGAATGCCTATTAAGCTCTGGCGTACCAGGGGGGGGAAGCCATGGAGCTTTAGTGCCCCCCTCCCCAGAAGTCAATGATACATATTAAAAAATATAGCTTTTACTAAGTTTCTATACTAACGAATGACATGCAATATATCATTTGTTTATGTTATAAAGTATATATTAATACGCGTGTATAAGTGCAGCATAAATGAAAACTTCTTCGTAAGAAAACATCACGTCGGCTTGACATCTATCTCCGTAGCCCCTCTAGAGTTACATCCTGGATGCACCTCTGCTTCTCAGGGAATAGAATTCGGTGAACAATTCAAAAGCCCTTTACGCCACTGCCCTCAACGGGCCCTTTCTCTCCCCCCTCCTTCACCGTTGCCCCTCGCGCCCTAATTGGAGGTGTAGGTTGTGTGTGTGTCTGTCTGTGTCTGTGGCGCGTGCCGCGAGAGCGGTGTTTCCCTTCACTTATCGTAATTGGCTCGTTATTTAAAGTGGCGAGTTGGCGAACGCTTGGTCCCGCGTTCCTGTTTCCCTCTCCGCGAGCGCCGGTCGCCGTCGCCCTCGCCGTCGCCGTCGCCGCCGCCGCCGCCGCCGCCGCCGTCGCCGCCGCGCTCGCTCTCCGCACCTCTGCGGGGAAACCCAATGCAAGTGCAGAACGAGGACGTCTTCAGACCGAAGCATTTCCCTCGTTGCCTGCGCCGGTTCGCGTCCTGGATATCCGAGGACCCGATTTTGGGACAAACTCAAACGCAGGGGCCGACAAAGGTAGCTCAGGCATCAACCGATGTCACTGCAGGGCCTCTGATCGGATTTTCGACCCTAGCTTCACAGGGGTGCCGCCACGCTGGTGGGAGATACCTTGTTAGGGAAATCCTTGCAACTCAACGTAGGTGGGCGCCGGATCTCAGCGTCCAGAGGGAGGAAGATCTCCGCCACCAGCAGCAAAAGCAATATAGCATGCACTACGCTTACTGGATTAATGTCCTTTGTAGTTGACGCCCAAAATTACTAAATCAATTAATCAAACGCAGGACGAAATGATATCCCTCAGAGATGCGATCCAGGAGACAGCGTGCATGCCATTTCTTCCTCAGACGGGGTCTACTTTTCCCAGGTTTTCTCTACCGTGTAGTTTTCTGGGCATCTTCGGTCATGATTCTGAGGTTTTCGTGAGGGATCGTACCCCCATCCAAAGTACGGAATGACGGAGAACGAAAAGCGAAATGTTAGCCGTTGGAAATTCAATTCGTGAAGTGAAGTCACCCGAATAACCAGAGTAAATGGGACGAGAAGAACTGGGTCGAGACTTCTATAAAGCGCTGTGAACCAACTTTCCCTCGTTACAGAAATTCGATGAAAACATAAACACAAACTATCATTTAATACAGAAGTTTTCAGAACTACAAGAAGGTAGTAAAATATTGATGTGGGAAACATTCGTAAAGTTTTCGCACTAATTACCATATGATCCACCCGTCGTTTTCCCGTAAAACAATTTTGCCTCTGATATTTGTCTCTCGAGGCAGGTTTATTGCATTTATTTGTTCTCTTGATGTCATCAAACTGCATGCGATGAGCCTTTTTGTAATGGGATTGCGATTCTTACTTTTCTGAGTAATATTTAGCGACCTAAGGAAAGACACACACCGTTTAAAAACAATTCCCTTGTATTTTTTCTTATATATATATTATTTTACGTGTCAGCCCCGCAGAATTGTAAAACATAAGAATACACACTGATTATTCTTGATTGGACATAAAACACCTTATGTTTCATAATTGAGCATTATTATTGTCTGATATGTTTCTTTGTTCAATGAAAGTAATATTATACGTAAACATCGCTCTATTTCCGGACTTTAATGAGACCTTGTGTAAATGGTACCTTCTCTGGTAAACTGGCGAGAGGCTGGTGAACGGTAAATACAGACCATCTCTTTCCTGCCCCCTCTCCCTCTCTTCCCCCTCCTGCGCCATCGGTGCCGCAGCTAGGCGACCCAGAAACCGCCGTGTGGTATACTTGCTCCTCCTCACTTCACGTTTTCTTTCGTTGGCTTCGAGCGGTGCCTGCGGCGGCGGCGGCGGCGGCAGCGGCAGCGGCAGCGGCAGCCGGTGCACCGTGCACTACTTTTCCCGGCGGAGGCCTTTTTTACTTTCGTCCGGCCGCTCTTCCGCGTTGCCGCTGCCACACGCTGGAGCAACTCTCAGTGGTCCCGAACCGTACCCTGCGGGGACGAACGCTTCTTTCCGATAAGCGTGGCGGACAGCAGTTTGGCTTCAGACAGTTTCCAAGGTCTCGTGTTTACGAAAGACAGCGTCGAATTTGTTGTCCGGCGCGAGAGCGTCAAAACTATAGCGGCGGGTTGTAGCAGTAAGGAATATCAGAAATGAGACATAACTCTTAATTGCGTAAATTTTAATGAGTTTATAGGTTTCGCTTAATGATCAATGTAAATGGTAGTGATAATTCTCCTGAGCATGAATAAAGGAAACCATCACTACCTTAAAGTATTCAAATTATGAAGTTTTTTTGTAAATAATATTTTGTACGCCAGCGTTACTACCTTTCTGCCTATTTATACAACTGTAATAACAATAAGGAGGAAGGCCTAGCTGAACGGTGTTTATAAACACTCAAATTCTTATAAATGATCTCAAGAGAATACAAATACCTGTGGTCTCGTAACCTTGCCGTGCTCTTAGAAGTTTCGTCAACGATAATGGAATATGGGAATGGTGTTGAAGAAAAGGTGGTGTGAAAATTTGTTAAGGAAATAAAAATATATTTAATCAGTACAATGTGCGAATCAGTGTCGAGTGTCATAGGCCATCACAATTTTTTTATTGCAACGATCACATGAAGGCTTCAAGCAGTTTTTCGGGTATCCGCATTACTTATCGCTTATTTATAGAATTATGTATTTTACTTTCTACTTCTCGAAATACATGAGGATCCACTTACTGTTAGCCTGCAAATATTATAATTAAAAAAATACAATAGTATACAATTGCCCAAATTATTGTTAGTACCCTTTAGTACATTACAAATTGTGATTGTCTTGCACTTGTAAAACTCAAACCTCTTGTCCTCAAAATCCATTTTCGCGAATCTACCATCGGACACAGATATCTAGTGATCGACGACACTACAACTTTAGTTGCTGTCTTTCCAATTATGTTTAAATGTCAGAATTAGTGGAAGTGAAGTGATATAACAAATAAAATAAGTGGTCACATTTTGATATTCGCAAGAGGTTGCTCAAGCGTAAATCGATTCGAAACCCTAGTTTTGGATGGAATTTTGACATCTTGGCGGATTTTATAGAAATTATTGCAAAAATGTTCCATTCTGTGTCATGAGAGAAGTTCGTTTCCTTTAACGACCGTTCTATCGTATACGCGGTGTCGATGTAATGCGGGTCAGTCTACTTGCTAGGCGTTCTAGTCTCCGCTATCTAATCAATATTTGTTTCGATTGAACAGTATTGATATAATTATTCATCATGACATTTCACATAACTATGAGATTCTACTGGCTTGCAGTACCAAGAATGCTGCAGAACAAAAACATCCCAAAATGGTATTCTAAAAACAAATAGGCACAGCTCATTAACAATACTCGGGTATAACGTTGCACTAAATTAACTATCTTCACGAATACTATAATAACATAGTAGGCTTTATATACTACAGTACTTTCTTTCCATAGTGAAAGTATCCAAAATGTTATGTTCCATAGAGCAGCAAGTGAATAGCAAATATTTAATGTTGGAAGGCCTCTTCCTTGGAGCCGTACTATCCATGACGTAGCTGTAATATAAGCAGTGTAAGGGAATTCAGTCGGTACACTTTGTAGGCCAACTAAAACAGTCAGTTGCATTTTCCAGACAAAATCTAAACGGTTTCATTGTGTTTGAATTTTTATCGAATTTCTGACTATCGAGTTAAACCATAGGCACTTTTCACAGGGCTAAAAGCTGTAGAGTTTTCTTGGAATTTCTGTGTGCATTGAACATTAGTAATATAGATACCCACTGATTCCAAACGATGCTCTTGTTTGACCTTCAAACTGTACAGAAATGCTTCTAACGTGCATTTCCGGCGATTTGCTTATGTCAACTTTTACCTGATGATTATAGAATGTTTCTAAAACGTCGACTCGGTCTGGGAGTTCTAATTTGCTTCGTAAACCCCACATTTGTATATTCAAACCCGGTTAGGGGCAGTAGATATTCTTAGGGCGGAAATATGTGAGACACTCTTGTAGTATGTATGGTATGTCTGGTTAAATGCCCGGAAAAAATTAAATTCTCCTGCGATTCCGATTCTTCTTTGATCGTACTATATTCGCTCAGTCAGGAAACTGGACGAGTATTACAAGAATAAATGTGAGCCGGGACAGTTTTCGTGGATCGGTCTCTAGCGACGAGCACGAGAGTCAACAAAACGGTAACGTGCTGTGGCGTTCCTGGCGTGTCTGAATGGTACTAAACCTGGCGCTGGTTGAGCCAGAGCCTTTGAACACTCCATCAAAATCGGAGGCAAAGCTGGAGGGTGCGACTATAGGAGGCGCTAGTGTCGTCGGGTACAGCTGCAAGTTCAGCTCCCCTCGCCAACTTTTACACATAAAAATTGACAAATTTGTGAAAAATACGAAAAGGGTCTTACATTTGTTTAGTTATTTATAATAAATATGTATAAGAAAGCGCGAACATCGGCGCTATGTTTTGTAACATTCGTATCTGCTTGCGAACCCATGCTACAGCCACGCACGTTTGAAGTGAAGTCGGCAGCGGTACGTGTTTTAGTTCCTGCTAGGGGGAGCTCCAGGAGAGCGCGCCATTGTAATGGTCTCCATCACATTATACTTCCTTTTTTTTCGGCTGCCGATAACATTAGGTCGTTGTTATACTTCCTGCATTTTGATTTTTTTTTTTTTCCATTCGCAGACATCCTTCTTAACGGGGCTCTTGGCCTTAGAAATGTGCTTACCCCTGGTAACAAAAATCATTTTATAAGGCAGAAGGTATAACAATGGCTTAATGCCATCGGCCACAATAAAAATCTAAGAATATGTGGGGGTTGAAAGGCCCCGGGCTGAGCTTCGGCCCGAGGGTGGCGCTTGGGCCAGTGCGAGGCCGGGGGCGGCGCGCGCGGGCTCCGAGATCGCTTTCCCCGAGCGCGGTTTCTCGGCCTTCGGACGCCAGCGGCCGGCGGCCGGCGCCGAGCGCCCAACCCCGCTCCGGAGAGGCCCTTCGGCTTCGCTGCCCTGTTTTCGTTCCCTCCGAAACACCATCATGGATACTTGATACTGAACTTAGTTTGGGAGTGATATTCTAAACAGTTTCTGGATCATTTCGATTGGCATTTCGTCTGGCTTTCCGTCATCCAATAAATGTTATTTTCAATAGTTGTGAAGCTGCAGCTTTTTCTGCTTCTAGAAAAATAATGAAGTAAATAAATCAAAAAATTAAATTCCTGAATATCTCATTATTATTATTATTATTATTATTATTATTATTATTATTATTATTATTATTATTATTATTATTATTAATAATAATAATAATAATAATAATAATAATAATAATAATAATAATAATAATAATAATTAATATTCAAACTATTAAAGAACTTCTAAAACTGTCGTAATGTACATTTAGAAAAAAATAATTAATTCAGAGGTTTCGTTTTGAGTAGAGTCAATGGTATATTATAAAAATTAACGCCTCTTTTCAATTGTTATTATCTATTTCAGGAACACCATTTGTTTTAATCAAAGTGTGAATATCAGAATATACTCAGAATGTGTAATGTCGTCGTGTAGGGAAAATAAGGTGTTCATTTAGTGCCATTTTGGAGGAAAAACCTAGATGTAGCTCGACGTTCATATTGAACAACCCCTGATATTAGAAAATTCTACTTCAATCCGCAAGGTCTCTACTTGGCGCAGAAATGTAGAAAAAAAGATGCGGATGTTTGAGAGAAATTTCATGTTAGGAGTTGGTGTTGTTCACGCACGGATGAACGGTCCTGAAAACGGATGGACCACCGAACATTTTTGAAAACATTTTTTGTCTCTAGTAGTCCGAAACGTGCATTTTTCAAAATCTCTCAATAATCTCGAATTTTGCATGACTTCAGTATAAGATGTTGAAATCAGTGTTTTTTTAAACACATTTGACCCTAGCATTAACTGTCGCAATCTATTATTTAGGAAGTAATAATACTAATTTTCTAACTTATTTGTTGTAAATAAGTATTTTGGTTTGCTCCCTATGAGGAGAACAATATTACAGCAATATTATTGCAGCACGCCGCATATTATTATTGATTGTAGTGATTTTGATAAAGAGCGGATGTTTACTTTACCAAGGAGTCAGTGAACAAAAGCAAGGCCTACGAATTGCGCTGCTCTTTTTGACAAATTAACTAGTTTTTGTTGGCAATATTCTAATTTTCTTAAATTCGAATGCCATTGAAAGCCAGTTAATTTGTCTCCAAAAGGCAATGAAATACTTAGGCTTTTGATTCACTGTCTCTTTGGTAAAGCAAATATCCACTCTTTGTTACAATGTTTACTGTTTGGGAGTTCCGTAGCCGAGGCCAACTTCACTGTTTTCAAATGAGCCCATTCGAGCGTTTCCATCCCTTGATCTTGGGGAGACGTCAGGCCGAGAGCCGTCAACCCGGTGTTATAAGAGTCTTCCGTGTTGGGCCTGCCGTCAGCCGCGGCCCGCCCATCTCAGGAAGCCGCTGAAGGCTACGGCTGCTGCGACCTTGACCTTGAGGCCGCCGCCGCTGGGCCGCACGTGACTCGACGCCTTGTGCGTCGCCTTCGCCTCCCCCTCCCCCCACTGCCGCCCCCTTCCCCCCTATCTTTCCACCCATCCATCTCGCCCGTCTTCCTCTCCTTTTCGTTCCCTTCCCAACCTCCCTCACTTGCTTCAACTTTCGTCACCATCCCTCCCTTTCGCCTCTGTTCCTCCTCTTCCTCTCATTGCCGTCTCTGTCTTACACTCTTTTCTTTGCCTTTTCATTCACTCCTCGGTAGTATCTTTTCTCTCAGTTTCTCTTCAATTTCAGTTATCTCGACCACCCTCTCGTTGCGGATGCAGAAAACGAGGAGCAAGAGATTTGTTTTGCAAATAAATAGGACATACTATGCAATAAACATGTGTTTCGAATATTATTTAATAAATGTACAGAAATTCTTTAATGATTGTATTACAATACATATATTGCATCACAATACGATTTAAGTGTAAACCAAAATATGCGACGAGGACAAATATTTTCACCCTTAGGTTCTCATGGATCTGCCCTCCTGCTCTACATTATTGGTTCCCTTACCTCGTTCCATCATCTTTTGTTTACCTTCAACTTCATCCTCTCGCGCGGGCAGCAATCATTCTTGAATAACGGCGGATATTTTACAGACAGTTACAGCTGGAAATCCTGGAAGTCTTAAGAATTCCTTAATTACTCAACGCCATCTTTCCAATTTATCTTTTTCCTTTTTACTTTCTCGTATACGTACGTATTTACGGAGTAATATATGTACAGTAGTGAAAGTTATGTAATGCTGCGGAAAATCGATTTCGAGATTTCAACGGAAATGCCGTCCGTCTGTCAGTCAACACTAGTGCCTAAACCATACACAAAAGTTTTTCCAAAATGGGATATTCTCGAAAGGCTCCACTCGAAGGTTTGCGATTTTGAAAAACTTGCCTTGAAATTTGGAGATCCTAGACATGAAGCCCCAGGGACATTTTCTCAAAAGCGGATCCAAATTTTTTCTTCAAACGTTTCCTTTGGATAGTGCTAATTTGTGCTGTTTAATATGGCATAATATGTATTTTCCTTTATTCTTTTGGTTTTTCAAAAATTACAGAAATTTAATTGTTTTGGAATATCTCTCATGCTTTTAGTTTGCACATTTCCAGTGATTGGTATACATTATTGCATATGTGAATGGAAGTGTTTCAAAAGACTTGCAATTACGTTTTTTGAAAACTCAAATGTTTTCTGTGAAAAAGAGCTTCAAATTTCTAATTTACAGTAACACGTAAATTTAATGTGAATTTCTTTGTGGGATGAGGTTTTACTCTTCTATAATATTCTTAAAGTTCTACTATTAGGGAGCTCAAAATCTGAGAAAATTTCAAAAAAATGTAATTGGCGAAGTGGTAGATTGCAGCTGGTAAGAGTATGTGGTAAGACCGCAAAGCTAGCCCAGACAAGAAACAAAGTAGAAAACTAAATGGACAACAAAGTCTGTGCCGTTCTGTAGTACAACTAGATTTTAGTTGGTGTGCAATTTGATGCCATTACATCTTTTACATCTGTTTATCTTCAACCTAAAAGTATTATTTTAGTGAAACTAGGCTTAGTGTGATGACTCTGCCACCCTTTGATGTCTTCTAAATTCTAGAGCACAATGTTGCTCTACAATAAATTAGCACATTTCATGCATTAATGCATTTGTAAAGAGCAGCTCACATTATTGAATTTTAAAACACCATTTTGGCACTTATATTGTGCTTTTTGACCAACATACAGTAATTCCATTCATTTGGTTTTTTATTGTTTTCCAGATTTTCCTAAAGCTGTGAAACGCCTTTTGAAGAATGATATCTTAATGTTCCGGACTGCAAGTAGTGTCCTTCATATTCTGCCCATAGCTGGATTATACACATTCTTGCCTAAATATCTGGAAACACAATTTCGACTACCAGCTCATAAGGCAAATATGATATCTGGTATGTATTCATTGCTACTTTATCAGTATTGTCCACTTTTATTGTCTCCATCACTTTTGAACATGCTCGGAGGGGTCATCAGGAGTACATTTTGCTGATATGCATAGTAGCTTGGGTGCATAGGCATGCATACAGCAGCAGGGGAGGTGGTAAGAGTCCTCAGCCCCCCTTGAAAATTTTGAACAGGACCTCTATGTCTTAAAAATAAAACTTTCTTTTCTTAAATATGTTCCCTGATTTTATTCAATTCCTAATGTTACCCTTTTTTGCACTTGAGAATTTGGGAAATATGTAGCTACTTGACATTTGGCTCTCCAAGCTATTTGTGTCTGGCAACTGTGAACAGTATAATGTAAACAGATTTTTATTTCTTAATTGTGTAATGTGTTTTATAATTTCATTTTTCTCATAATAAGTTTTATTCATTCACTAGTAAACTATGTCATATATAAATAAAAAATGGAAAAGGGAGCTCAGAAATATAGATCACTCTCCTCAGGTTTTTGACTGCATCTTCCTAAGTTGCTAGGATATTTGCAGTTGCATTTTATTTATCAATATTTATAAGGAAGATTGTTAAAAATCAAATTGTTTCTATTATTCTAAATTGTTTGTATATATTCAGAATCATCAGATCTGAGAGTGCTCTAATTCTTTGTTCAAGTAACTGTTGTTTCTCCCTTCCTTCTCACAAATTTTTAAGTTTCCATTTCTGTGTATTATTAATATTATGTTGAGCATTTTCATCACCATTCATATAAAACTTCTTATTTTGAAATGAGTAATTAATAATAAGTATTAAGATATGTTGTTAATGTTCCAGGTATTGGAGGTATACTAGTGATGGGACTAGGTATTATCATCAGTGGAGTCTTTATACTCAGAGTTAAACCAAATGCTCGGTTTGTGGCAGCCTGGATTGCTTTCACAGCGGTTGTATATGCCATAGGTAAAAAGCATGTAATCTGTGTATTTTCTTTTACATAGGTGAATTCCATAAATAACACAATTATTGTTTGTACAGGAATGGGAATTCTTATGTTTATTGGATGTCCAATGGATGATTTTGCTGGACTTGTACCTGGCAGGTAAGATTTTGTAATAATTAAAAGATTTTTCTTTCAGCAGAAAATTCAGACCAAAGCAAATAATATCCTCGCAATAATATTTTGTTAAATTAAAATTATTTTGTTACTTTGAAAGCATAATCTACAAAACAAAGTTTTGTTGTGCATATTATTTCACAAGAAAAAAAGTTTTTTCATTATTAATTTTTTAATTGGCAAATTACTTCATTGAGAAATATTTTTAAACATTTTTAATGTGCCTCTATAATAGCATTTAATATTTTCATATCATTCAAAATACTTCAGTTCACTGGAATCATTATTTCTAGGACTCCAAGTTTTATGCCTGAATGTGCCAATGTGACAAATTGCCAATGTGACGTGAAAAGGTTCAGCCCAGTTTGTGGAAGCGATGACAGAACATATTACTCAGCGTGCCATGCCGGTTGTAGAAATGTCACTGAAGTAAAGAATGAGAAGGGAAAATATGAGGTAAAATACAATTTAAATTACTGACTCTTTTGTTAATATAATGAACAAATTTGCATAATAATACAATTTTTATAGTTTTTAGATTGCCAGTGTATAAGCAATTCCTCAGATGCTCATGCAATAGTCCACGGTACAGCAAAACAAAAATTTTGTGACTCAAAATGTACAAACTATGTGTGGTACATTTTGCTATTCTCTGTGTTTGTTTTTATTCATTCAACATCAGAAGTAGGGAGCATGTTACTCATCCTGCGATGTGTGGATCCTAGAGATAAGGCAATGGCTCTGGGTCTAATACAGTTTGCTATAGGATTGTTTGGTAAGTGTGTTAGAAATGTAGTAATTGTTTTAGAGCTACCATTCATCTTATGTAATTCTTTTATTTCTTCTTCTTAATTTTATTGCAGGTAATGTACCTTGTCCTATTGTTTATGGAGCAGTAGTGGACTATGCATGTATGGTTTGGGAGGAGACAGTATGTGGAGAACAGGGCGCATGTTGGCTGTATGATTCCAACATTTTCAGAATGTTTTATCACGGTAAGTTTAAGATGAAGATAATATATTTGATGGCAACTCTTAATTTTTTGTAGATAATTTTTCTAATTTAAGGTTACAAGATACACTCGCAATTTAATGTTCCTTAGGAGTACTATACTCTTCTGAAAATTGCACTTAGGGTACTACAGTGATGTGTGAAACTATTTGAATTTTTGTGGCATGTTTTTAACATGTTTATGTAGTTATGTAACATTAATACTTGAATTTATTTTTATTTATTTCTTCAAATTGATGATATATTGATGATTCATTATAATTTTGAAATATTCAGTATGTAAGTTTTATTAGAGATTATTTACTGAATTTGCTCTTTTTGGGGTCTCTGAAGCAATTACTGAATTCAAACGAATGAGAAGCGTCAATAAATAATTTCTTCATCTCAAAATACTTTCTAATTGGTTAAGGGAAGAAACTCTGTTATTTATTGACCAGTAGTAGATTTCTTTCAGAACTGGGAATGTCATTTTTATGTTCTATTATAAGAGATTAAAGCAGAAATTAAGATACATTCCTCTTCATAATTCTACTTTTCATTTAGGTGAATCAACTGCAGCACTAATATGAATATTGGTTTTCAAGAGTTTTGAAATCCATAAGACAATGTTGTACATTCTTTTTTAAATTTCTTAGAAAAAAGTTATTATTTTAGTTGTCATTATTCATTACTAGATTTAAATTGATTTCATTTTATATTTTTCTTTTTAGGTACTACAGGTGCCATATTACTCTGTGCGTTCTTTGTGGATATTATTGTGTGGTACAAAGCTGGCAGCATAAATTTTGTGGATGAACCGGGGCCAAATCCTCAAGAGGAGGAACTGAATCCAATTGCAGGGAGAGCTCGCTCAGAGACAAGTGTTTGACAAAGCGCCTTGGTAACTGTGACATCCACAGTTCCTGAACGTCTTCCTGAAAGATTGCAAGGCGCTTGTGATACATGTGCATAGACTGGAAATACATCAGTAGATGTTTCCTAATATTGTGATGTATCATATGTTGATATGACCTAAAGTAATTTTGTGATATGACTGATTCACAATCATTTCAAGATTACCAACATAAATATCGACTGATTATAAGGGCAGGGATCTAACAAAAGTTAGAGATTTTCCCAATGTATGTTAGATAAGCTAATAATGATGTTCTCTGAGGTATCTTTTGAACTATATGCCTAAGAGAGAGAATGAATTAACTAATAGTATGTGTTTTAAGTGTGGATAAAGTGAAATTTATCAAATCCATATGTTACTATGGAATAATATTAACAGAAATATTTGCAAAAAAAGAACACATGTGAACATATTTTTGTTAAATCTTCGTAATTGATGCAATGATAAAATTATTTTCCTGACAACTTTATCCAGGATGATATTGATTGAATATAGAAATGAATTTTAAATTTGTAACCTAGTAATTAATGTAGATTAATTAGAATTTTTAGAATCTATTTTGCTTTTATTTTTAAAATTAAACAATTTTATATACATATTGAAATTGGTTATTAAAATGAAATTTGTAATGGAAAATTTTCATTGTACTGTTGACATATTCACTTTAGTGTTTAGTTTATTGGAAACCTGTTGTTGAAGTCGAATTATATGTGTCTGAATCGCAAGATGATAACAGATGGCAAACAATGGAGCCTAGATGAGGAACAAATGTTCATAACAAATGGAAGCTTGTAAATAATCTTTTTCATTGAGAACACATTTTATTGAGTAATATGGCAACTCGAGCAGAGAGGTGAAGTGCTTTTATTCATTCAGCAACTGTATATGTTTTTACAAGGCAGAAAATATCAGCAAGAGCCCAGTATTATTTTTAAAAGCAACTTGTTCAGCATATTTGATGCTCTTTTGTATTGTGTGAATTTCAGAAAAGTGTCTCAATGCCACTGATGTCTTCCAAATGAACTTACTCTGAAATAATGGAAAATGATTAAAAATTCAATTGTTACATCATATTAGAAATTATTTGTAATCTGCTAATAATAGCAAATTAGAACATTTGAGGTATTTACTCATTAAATTTTTATGTGATAATTGGTAAAATTTACTTACAATGAGCATACGACATAAACCCACTGTATCCATTTTTTCTATGTAAATTTTGTACATTTTTATGCAGCAGTAAATATAGGAATTTAAAAAGATTTCCAATTCCTTTTCTAGACACATTATGCTGCACATCTTGAACATCGAACTGGCTTGATGAAAGTGTTAATTGAACAACTTGTTTAAAATATTGTTTTATGTATGCAAACTTTGGAAACATCTTTCAAACATTTTTCTAGAATCCATTAATTGCATTAATTGTTATTACACTGAAGAACAGTTTTTTAAAAAAATGGAAATGGGAGTTTGTCACAGGTAAGATAGTAATCCTACAACTTTGTACTGTGTAAAACTTTATTTCTTTGTAGGATTCGGAATGATGTAACTTAACTTGTTCGCTTTATCTGGCAAACTTCACGGGCAAATTTTTCATGGCACTGCTCAACCAACTTTTTGATAACAAAACATTTTTACTGGATATATTTAGTTACATTCATATATATTGTTCTGCATATTTGACAAAATTATAATTTTCATTTTATTTGTACTCTACAAGGAATTTGCAAATTATTCTTATTCAGTCATTTGTTCTGATTTCAATTGCACCTAATTGGTGTAATTTCTTTTCATTATATCTACAGTGTGATTTGTTTTCTAATGGATTAAAATGCCCTTTTTTCTTATAACATTTCCATTACATAATGATTCTGTTAAAAAGAATTGATAATGAAAATTAAAAATATTTTACAAAGCCTCATTTCTCATTGTCTGGTAGGGTCACATCAACATTCTGTCCTCTAAAGTTTTGCAAATGTTATTTAGATATGATTGAATACACAAAATATTAAAAGAAATTAATTTTTAATTTCATGTACCTTTCATTATTTGTTAAACCTAAAATCATTTGAAGTGATAATTAAGTAAGTCAAATTCCATTTATTTTAAACAGAGATAATATAGCTGAGGCTTATTCTTTTTCTTTTTTATTTAGGATGATTTAAAATAATAAGACACTTCTACTTGATGTTACAGGTACTTTTATAATTCCTTTGCATACCATTAAACTGAATTAGGGGATATTGAAAAGTTTTTCTTTCTTTGTGAAGAAAGTTTTTTACTATTGACTGTGGCTAGTTACCAGCCCCATATTTCCCTTTAGATTACAGAGAATTCATTACCTAGAGGTTTGAGCATTACTGCTACTAACCTTAGAGGTAAAGGGATAAAATGTGTTGGAGATTGAATGGCAAGGCTAAGAGAAACATGCTGTGAAAATTATAGGGCAAATGCTAAGGGAATTAAAGAATTACCATTTGATATGATGACAGTAATGGAATTTCAGAGGTATGGGCGTGAAAAAGTATTCTTTCAAGAACTGCTAATCTACTATAAAATTCATTTTGACTAGAATTCAAGAACTGATGACTTAAGTTAAAAAGAAAACACATGAGCTCTGCTTTACAAAAAAATACTTAACAGTTTGTTAATGAAAGTCCTTCTAATTAAAGAATCTAAATGAAGTTTCTAAATAATTTAATAAAATAAATTCTTAAGTTTTGAGTCTGCATTTCCAATGAATTTTTAAGCCATTTGAAAGGTAATTTTCCTCTTATTTCTAAGTCAATAAATAGGTTATTTTTAAAGCATTTTAGGTCATCAGAATCAAAGCCCTGCATATTATTAGGGGTCAGTTTTTAATGAAATGTTATTTTCTTTCTTTTCAATTTAGAACAATGCATTTTAGGATAGACATTAATTTTATGTTGTGACAAAAGGAAATTACCGATTTTTATAATACATTTTTTTTTGGCATTTTTCTTTGATTGCAACTCGTAAGTAATTTTTTTACCTTTCCCCATCATTTATAAAGCATTGCTTTGATTTTAATGGTACTTACATCAATTAATATTTATATGTTGCAACAAAACTTCTCCACAGAATTCCTGAATGCCTGTTTGATTTCTTTGCTCAGAAATTGTAATGTCAGCCATTATGAGTATGTAATCTAAGGTTGCTGTGATACCAATCAGCACCATTGTCTGTTCAGCTGATTTCATGTTAACTAAAGACAGATCTCCTGGTAAAGAACAGTCCAAACCAAAATTTTGCAAGCTGAGTTCACTTGAACGAAAAGAAGAAGTCTTGATTACATCCGTAACATATCCAACATCTTAAGTTGTTTATCAGAACTGATTTTGATAAAAAAATTTACATCATTTTTCTTTACTTTAAGGGAATTTTAAAAACACTTGAAGAGCATTTTATTAATCATTTTTGGCAATGTTTTATGTCATTACAATCCACCCCCTACTTATGTATCAGAATGGCAATTCTTCAGTTACATGCAATGGTGTCGTTAAGAATGTGTAAAATATTCTGGTGTTATTACTTATTCTCTTGAACAAGACCCCTGGATCAGATTTTGGTTTTTTACAACTGAATGTTAACTTTTACACACACTTTTTGAAATTTCCCATGGGTCAAATTGAAATAAAAAAGTCTTTTGAAAAAAATTAACAAAAATTAATTTTACTATGTCTTAAACACAGGAATAGGCACAAAATGTCTCAAAAGTACTTCTCAAACCATCTCGCCTCAGTTGCGAATTTTTCTTCAGATTTTTTGATTTTGTGGTCATGGTTATAAAAATTAAAAAAACAAACAACAAACTATTTTTACCCTTTTTTGCCTTTAAAACCACTTATTACTAATGTACTTTGAAAAGGACTGCAGGAGTTCTATACATTTGTTTTATTGTTTATTATACTTTTGTATACATTGTTGTAGCACCCAGTAATTTTTTGAACTTTGAATTTAGTTAAAATCATTATATTTTTAATGATTTATACTTCTTTGTGTAGTATATATATGCTAAGGAAAGATTCTAAGAAAATGTTGACACAAAACCTTACTGGTGGTTAGGGAATAACAATCGAGTCCTACTTCCAACAGATAGCAGACAAAGAAATATAAGAATGCAGAGTATGACAGACAAAACAGATTATTGTAACTCATTATAATTATGCATAACTTCGGAACAGTGCATCTTAGGCCTTTAAACGTGGTATGACTTCTTGTTGAGACACAAGTATTCTGAGGAGAGGTGAGTGGCAGGTCACAAGTTTTGGGGGGCAGGTAAAGGAAAGTTGGGGAGTGATGGTGATGGTGGGAACCTGAGTATGTTCTTATAATTAATTAAATAGGACTTGATTTACTATCTTAGTTTACATCTTGCCCTTATCATGCTAGATACTCACAGAATGTTAACTCTTAAGAAGTATTCTACAAAATAAGACCTTTTGGATCTTCCTTTTACAATATTGCAGATTTAGTTCTTTTGTTGGCTCCCACACACGGGTGGTCAAAGAAATGCAAAAGCCGAAACCAATAAAAATTAAATTGAAGAAAAAATTACTTAAATAATCTTTTGCAATAAAATTAAAGGAACTTTGATTTTTTGTGCATTTTAATGTCGATGTTTAGCAATCTCTTGCACAATACCAGTTCTACAAAGTGCAGAATTTTCACTAGGGTAAAATTGTATTATGCATATTTATGTGTACAAGAATAAAACTCATGAAAATGCCAACCTTTTCTCTAGTCACAAACTACTACAGATGTCGTGGTTTTAATTTTTTAAGTTAAGGCTTGGTAATCAAATACAGCTGCAAAAATTCACAACAACTAGTGTTTTAAGTGGAAGTTTCTTTGTTGGGGGGGGGGTCCATGTTTAAGACAGAAAAAATTAATTTTTGTTAATTTCATTTCAATTTTTTTTCAGTTTACAATTTGATGCTGAGAAAATATAAAAAAATGTATTTTATTTATATAAATTATTTCCTTAATTTTTGTATTTTTTCCAATTAGAAAAATTAAAGCTACATTGACCTCAGTCTCAAAAAAGCTTTTGGGGATGAAGCGGGGTGGAGGTGGTGTGGGGGGGGGACTGCAAAAAAAATCCTTTCAAAAATCTTATTTTTATGTTTCTCTGTATCAAAGAACATAAAAACATGATTTGAAAAAATTAATTATTATTATTGTTATTTGATATTTTTTTTAATGACTGATACGAAACATGTTTGATTAACAACACATGAATACACATCCTGCATTCCTCATTCTCATTAATGTTCCTACTTGCAATTATTTCTCCTTCATATTTTTAAGAAAATATACTAGGAATAGATCACATTACATCAATGGTTATTCATCTCTTAATACCGGTATTGAGATGCGTTTTCTTTAAGTGCACCAATTATCTGTTTATCTAAGCTATATAAACAAAGGCAAACTCTTTGGAGGGAAATCTGTGTTAAAAACCATATACTTTGATAATCCTAATGAAGAAAAATTATGTTTAAAGGGTATGTTTTGAAGAGTTTAAATATTCAAATTGTATTTTGCGAGTATACATTTTATATACCTATTATATTATTATACCTATAAATATCCTTCATCCTACCTAATACCTATAACCTTCTGAAGAAGTGTGGGTACAGATGAGTGAGTGGCATCAAATGTTGAACACTTTAGGGGCAAAATGCAAGAGGATGTGAACTTTAGATACTATCAATAGAAAAAACTACCAATAAAAATTTTTGAATTGTGTATACATTTTATGAAACATTTATGTTTTGAAATAGAATAACAGATAACACAGAACTTGTCTAAACATCTTTAAACTACTAATTGACAAACCAAGATTACAATTGACCATGTTTCAATTAAGATTCTTTTAATTCATCGTGATAATGTCTTAATGGAGTTCCTCTTGATGCTAGATGGAAAATAGATAGCAAACTACTGAATTTCTGTTCTTTGGTATTTATCGGTTTGATTTACCTCGTATCAGTTAGGGCTGCAAGTTTGTGATGAGTAAACATTTGCCTTTTATTTTTAATGTTATGAGTTTTGAAATGGGTCACATCTAGAATTTTTATGTAATAATAAATGCATGATCTAAATAATTATATATATTTATGAGTAAGTAAATGCTATCAATTTTTTATTAACATGCTCTAATTTTGTGTGAACAAGTCGAATCAAACAAACTGCTATAATTTGAAGATACTTTCAGAGCATAAGTACCTAATTAATATTTAACAAATTTAATTTTGAGAAGTAATATATTTTCTCTAAAATTCAACTAAAGCCAAGGTACACAAACAAGCAATCAAGGAAGAGAAGTAAATGCAGTTAGTTTTAAAGTTTAATTAAATTCAAACTTTGAGTATGATGCAGAAAAGGTTAAATATATTGAAGTTTAGGGATGTATTACAAGCCTATATTTCCCACATTAATTTGACTGTACTTGACCTATTATCTAAGAAACTATTATATTCAGTTCTGTATAATTTTACGAGCAGTTTGTAGAAATAGTTTTAATTAATTACAAACAGGTGTATATTTATTTTGGACAGTTTTTGTAATTTAGAAAATTTAAAGTAAAACTCAGAATTTTTACATAATTTATTTTTATGCAGATTATTTACAAACTATAAAAATAATTGAAAATTATTTCTTGACAAGTTTTAGAGATGATGGGGTAAAAGTTTTATGAGATGTAATTTTTCAGAATTCAATAGTGAAGTTAAACCTTCTAGGAAAACAGAAAAATTAACCTTGGAAATAAGTAAATAAAACACATTTACTGAGTAATTGTCATGGAAGATAAAGCTTTGCAGTGCATGTATATTAAATAATTAACATTCTTCTATAATTCAGTCCAAACCCCAATCTTCGAGATGGGATCTTCATACAATCTGCATTAGAGATGCATAACCAAAATGATTTCCATTTTGACATTTGCAGATGAAGGAAAAAAGAAGAAAAAATACTTTAAAAGAGTATATTTTACAATGATATACTTATTTTACCAACCTTTAAATATAAATAAAATGATAAAATAAAGAAAATAGTCAAAAATTCAAATTTTTGCTTTCTGGCTCCCCTTAAAGTATACAAGTAGGAAATGTTTCTAGGAATGATACTCTCTGACATTAAACCTTCTGTGAATGAGCAGTGCAAGAATGTGCACAGAAGGTTTCTAAATGTACTATTACGATTCTCTTGAAAATTGCCTGTTGAAAAACCTCTTCTTAGCGGTTTATTTTTTGTGATCAAATTTTGATAAAAATAATAAATTGAAGCAAATATTTTGAACAGAGGGATTATAAGAAGCATTAATAAAGAATGCTTTTGTGCATATTTCTTTTCCTTTGTTGACTCTTCCTTAGTATTGTTTCTTTTTTGCTTTGTTTAAAAAAAATTAATGATATTTATTATTACTGCAAGGTTCATTATGATTTGTATAGTATTGTTTATAGGTCATTGAGAAATCTTTAAATACATCCCATGTGCTAATTATTTATTTAATTAAGAATTAATTTATTTTACAATCTTATAGATATAGATTGATAGTATGCCATGGAAAGTGTTTTTCATTTCTCATCTTACTTTGCTTTAAATGAGAATAGTTTTCTGGCCTAAAGTTGTACCTGATGGTCCTGCTTGGAATTTCTGTATATCAACACTAATAAAATTAGTATATATGTAAATATATTTACAAAGATACTTGAAACTAAGGTTTACATCTCAATATGATTATCTGGATTGGAAGTTATTTGACAATTCAGATTGAAAACATGTGCACTGTAAAAAATAAAAATTCTCATGAGAGAGTAATAAAATAATAGAGTAGTAAAACAATTTTTAAATTAATAGAATATGAAATTTTAGTTAGAATAATGGGCAACATAGTAGGTAGTTAACTTTACTCTTACCCTCAATCCTCCCCAAAAATACTTAAGGTAGAATGATAAACATTAAAGTAATAATATGAAGATTCAACAATTTACAAACAATGATTTGGATCATATTTTTATGGATATAACAACTCTACAACTCT